TTAGCGAAAGAATTCTTGCGTTAACGAATAACTTTTTCGCCGAAGAGGCGTGCGTTTTCAGGCCGTTTTCGCTTAAAACACGAACTTTCGGAGTTGCGCGATATAATGTGCTCCGCGCTGTCCGAGTGAAAGAAAATTGAAACATAGCACCTTCACCGCAAACAGAGATGAATTAATAAGACATAATCTTCGTGGCAACTTATTTGTATTTTAATGACTATGTTAATTCAGCGAAGACAAAAGCTCTCTGTGAAAGACTGTTATCGCTTTTGCTGCGAAGGTTGTTTGTCGCTCCTTCTTACTCCATCCGCTTTAAACTAAATCATCCTATACGAAGCGAATCCTAATGTCGTTAAGTAATGGATGTTACATCGATAAAAAAAATGGCTAATACAAATAGTATGAAAAGACTTTTTAAGTCTGAAAAAGAGGAAAAAAATCAAAACACATTCAGAAATCAAAACGTGTTGAAAGTCTTGACAATAAATATCCATCGTAAAAAATACGCTTTAATAAAGCAATAAATATTATTAATATTATGCATGGAAAGAATAACGTATTATTACTTAATTACTTTTGTTGATATACATAAATGCGCGTGTTTTTAACGAAAAGCAATAATATTCGTTAATGTGTCGCGATTATTTAATTTCACAAACGTTTGTAGACGAGCAGCATCTGTTCTCTACACAAGCTCCTCTTTAAGCATGCTTACGACATCCCATCGACTTTTGAACTATTCCTCGGGGCGCATCCGCGTCATACATCTTCACGCCATGGAGTCTGTTTTGCGCACGTTGCGCGTAAATACAGCGTGTCGCGCGCGGAATACTTGTTTCGCTTATCAAAAGAATTCCACTGTTCTTGGCCCGGGTCCCAGAAGAACGAACGACCGGAACTGAATATCAGCGCCGTAAGACGGAGTCGGTCGCTGCTCAAGGCGGATACCCTCGAAACCTCTTGAAGATTTATACCACGAAAGCACATCGTCACGCGAACGCGAGGCCTAAGCCACGAAACGCGCGGCGCATTTCCGGTGGCACGATACGATGGTGGTGGCAGCCGAGTGCCTGTTCCATCACGACGACGACGATGACGGCAGAGGCGCAGTTGCTCGTGCGATACAGGCGTGCGAGAAAAAACGGTCGAGATACCATGGGAGGATGGTAGCGTTACATAAATCACCGAAACGAGTGAGCTACCGGAGGCACGGGGTTTTCGAATCGTAACAAAGTGGAAGATAGCCCGGCTCGAAGGCTAGGAGAATATGGCCACCATTTTTCCTCGGCTTCGGCTGCTGAAAGCACACGTAACGG